AGAAAGAAAGAAAGAAAGAAAGAAAGAAAGAAAGAAAGAAAGAAAGAGAGAAAGAAAGTAAATTCTTGGCAACATTGAGATTAGACTACGTTTTCCAGTTCCTATTTTTGACCCACTGCTCTGTCAATATAGCACCTTCATTCCCAGGGACAAGTATTCATTGTGATCCTTGTATCACACAGCTGGGTTAATTCTAGAGTGAGAAAACAATAGACCATAGTTGTTTAGGGGGGATTTCCAGAAATTACCTTTATTTTCTTAAAGACTAAGGTCACTCATGGAACACTCTGACTTCCTATCTGATCAAAACGCCGAAACAAAGCTGCGGAAGCCAGCAGAGCCAGGAGATGTTTTGTAAGGTTGCTTTACCTCTACCTGGCATTTCGTAGGGCAGCAGAGAGGGCAAAAGTATTAAATTCAGGCTTAAAAGCTCCTTAGAAATTCTTTACACACAAGAGACCACGTTGGAGAAAAGAAGATGACTTATGCCAACGGGAAGAAAGAGAGAGGCTAATGCCTGCGGTTTTCAAAGGTTAAGAACAACAACAAAAAAAAAAACAGCCCAAGTATTTACAGAGCGATGAATGCTCACTGGCTTTTGGCCAACAATTATACAAGGGCTTGTGCCCACATCCTGTAGCTGTGGTTTAGGGACGCTGCTCATGAGTGACTTCTTATGCTCAGTGACAGGAAACTTTAGTCACCAATGTGTAAACTCACCTTTGGTCTGCACCTCCCACAATGAGCTCCAAAGGCACTTTGGGGCCAAGCCTCTAGATTTTCTTGCAGATACCAATCCCTGGAAGCCAAGGAAGAGCTCCATTTGAAAGCAATTGTGGCTGGATCAATAGTTATTCTTTCTGGTTATGACAATCCCTTGAAATAATTCTGCAGCCATAAGGGGGAAGTGTGATATTGTCTGCTAGACTCTTTTTAGCCTCCAAGTCTAAGGCAAAAAGTAAGCCACACATCACTTCAGGGATGCAGTCAAGATGAAATATGATGCATTAAGCCACGAGGCTGCTTTTCCACCTCTATTCGATGCCTCATGCGGTCTTACACTCAAGTCAAAGATTTCTTATCAAATATTTAAGAAGTATCCATTTCAGTGACATACCAGATGGAATGTGGAAGTTTGGATTAATTCATTTTAATGCATATATGAGGTGTCTTCATGTCGCTTTATGTGTGTGGAAATGTGCTGGACTTTGATTCTTCACATTGTCAAGTTGTTTTGTATGTCACGTTCATGGTGCTATCTCAGGAGACTCAGAAATTTCTTTCCTTTCTGGAACTGTTTTGAAAAAGGCCAAGGGGCCTTACATGTTGTCTTGTTCATCCTGCTGCTCAGTTCAAGGAAGCACTCAAGCATCTTAAGCAGGGAGATTGCTTCTGC